GGTGAAGGAGTGAGAAGTCGCCTAGAGCAAAATTACAGGACCCGATTTTGCAGGCAATAGGGACTGATCATTCTGAATCCCTCTCTGTCTCGTGTAAAGGCAGTTCTAAGGAACGCGAATGGCCGGAGCGCCCCAGCCATGAAGAGCCTCTCCTCCCAGTGCCTGGAGAAGTGGGTTGCGGCGGAGAGGGGTGGCCGCGGTCACAACAGCAGCCTGGGCCAGGTTCAGCCTCCCGGCACCGGGACACCACCCTCCCATCTCTGTTCCTAGAAGAGCCCGTCCGGTGGCAGCGACATTCGGCCAGCTGCACAGCTTCCTTTGGTGGCACCTCCATGTCAGCCGGGTGGGCCTGGCGGAGCCTCTCGCGCTCTGTGCGGCAGCTGTCGTGGAGCTTCGACGGCAAGATGCCGAGGCCCAATGCGGCCGCCCCAGCGATGCTGCTCTTCGACGGCTGCCCAGGAGCTGCCCGCTGGTGGAGAAAGGGAGCCGCCCTGCGGGGCCAAGGACTGAGCATGGCCCCACCAGGCGGAGGTGGCGGCCAGGGCGGCAAGGAAGTGGTGCCCGACTGGCTGCGCATTACCGAGATCCTTTCAAATCAAGGGGGTAATGTAAGTGTATATAAATTTTTAAGGGAGTAAAAGGTAAAAAAGTTCCCTGACCCCTGTCCTAACCTGTGGCATTCGGGCATTGTTTGGGAGTAGCTCTGTAGCAGACAAAAAAGCTCTAAAGAGAACCCTTAAAATTGGCCAGAATATCATTGGGCTCCAGCTACCAACCCTGGATGACATCTTCACATATCCTGCTGTCAGAGGAAGACACACAACGTCCTGAGAGACTCTTCCCATCCTGCTTACAACATTTTTTTTTTGAACTGTTGCTGTCTGGCAAAAGATATAAAAGAATTAAGACTAAGATCACACGTTTTATTCCAAAGCCATAACTGCACTTAATAACGAGCTTAACGACCACCAGTAGTGAACAGTTAACGAAAGACAATGGTTCAAAGGCTTCTTCAGAGGCTATGAATAGACTAGGGACCCGTGCCAGGAAGTGGACAAGGGCGACGTGTCCCTGCCGGTTCTGCTGGACCTCTCAGCAGCCTTTGAGAGGATTGACCCGGGTGTCCTTCTGGGTCGTCTCTCTGGGATGGGATGGGAGGCTCTCTTTTGTGGTGGATCCGGTCTTCTTTTGAGGGGAGGACCCAGTGGGTGGTACTAGTGAGACTCCTGCTCCACACCCTGGCCACTGGTCTGGGGGATCCCTCAGATTTTGTCCCCTATGCTATTGAACATCTACATGAAACTGCTGGCAGAGGTCGTCCGGAGTTTTGGGTCGGCAGTGACACAGTGGGGTCTGTGGGGACAAATACAATTTATGCTTTGGCACCACTGCAGAGTCAAGTGTCGGGGGAACTCCCTCCTTTGTCTCATCATCTGCAGGCAGAGATGGGACCTTCGAGGATTCCCTTGCCTAATCCTTCCACATTTATCAGATCCTGTTCCATGAGTCAGTTCAGCCTGGAGGCAGGCAGTGCATCACGGCCTCTCCCAATTTGAAGAGACCCTTGTCCAGCAGGCTGAGGCAAAGAGGAAGTCACAAAGGAAGCAAAACCAGGGAGCTGGACAGGGGACAGATTGGATTTGTCTCCAGTGTGGAAGGGATTGTCACTCTCGAATTGGCCTCCTCAGCCACACTAGACGCTGTTCCAAGTCCTACATACAGAGCACGATACCATAGTCTTTCGAGACTGAAGGATGCCTACTCCATGAGTCAGTATGGTGGCATCATCCCCCTTCGTATCAGGTTTCTTGAAACCCTAATAAATGTTTCTCCCGTGTTCACCCTTTCCAGGAGGTCAAAGGTTTCTTTTATAGCCACACTCTATATAGAAGATTTATCAGCCTTTGAATTGCACCTGACCTTTTTCTGCCTGGCGCAAAGACCTCGTTATCTGTGTGGAGAGAATTTGTTGCAAATCTATTCAACCTTTGGGCCAAAATGAAGGAGACTTTTTTAATCCTGATATTTATTTA